ATTTTATTACTATTTTGATTACTATTTTTTTATTACTTTTTTAAAATTAAAAAACAAAAAAAAATCTTGGATTTTTCTTCGCAAAAAAATGCTTTTTTACAATTTTACATTTCATTTGTTTACATTTCTTTATAAAAGAAATACCAACACAAGCGTAAAATCTCACAAGAAATCCAACAAAAACAACAGCAACCAACAGTGGKTTGCTTGGACTTGGTTGAGTGCCTTTGAAAATAAGAATAACAAAAAGCGGGACTTACGACTTGGTTACGATACGAAGGAACACACAAACAGCAGAAAATTTATGAAAATAGAAGAAGTGAGAAAGAAAAAAATGTCTAAAATATTGCAGAGGTAAAGTAATGTCTGAGTTACAGGTGGGCAGAGAAACACACACCGGCACGTCTAAYCGACAATGCGCAGCGCATTTGATCGCATTACAGCCGCTCTAGTAACTAGCGGCATGCAACATAAATATTTAAATGCATACACAGACAAATATGCAGCTACTTATAAATGTATGTGTGTGTATGTATGGAAGGTGTATGCATAGCTGGGCAGAAAAAAATTTAGAAAATTTTTAAAAATTAATAAAATAATAAACTTCAGGTGGGGGAACGCGCACGCGCACTCAAGCGTCTTACGTGCAATCAGACAGACAGTCAGTCAGTCAAGTCGAGCCAGCGCAGTCAGTCACTCATACATGCTTGCAGTTACCCTTGCAGTTGGTCGCGCTTTGGGCCCGGGCGCATGGGTTTAAGATGACTGCATTACCGTTGCTGCGTTAATTTGCCACTTCTGCTTAAGCAACAGCCATTACATACATACATACATATGTATGTACATATACATATATAAGTTTATACATCTAAGTGTATTTATGTATACTACGATTGCTGTTACCAAGTTCACTTTACTGTTACAACTTTCTTCAACTGCGACTGCGGCTTCGACTTTATGGTGGCAGCCATTTTTTATTTCAATAAATTATAAAATATATGCATAATTTACAGTTATGCGAAAAAGAGTTAAGTAAAGCAAACGCACAATGGCCAAGTGAATTTATTGTTGTTGTTATTATTATTTTTACATATTAAATCAACAACAACAAAAACACTTGTATAATAAGCGTGCAAGAGAACGGTTGCAAAGAGTAGGTGCAAGCAAGCAAGCGGTTGCAGAAGACAAAATTAAGGCAAGACAATTAACGGCCAAGGCAGTCGAAATAATCATAAAACAAAAGCGAGGCAAAATTATGAACTGTGAGTGGCTGGCACATACAACGCAACAGACCACCGGCCCTCCTGCTTTTTCTAGTGGCTTTGCGCCGCTCTTCTTGGCGGGTTAACTTAATTAAGACGAGTGACGTTCACCACTAAACAACAACAGCAATACATATGTGTGGCAGCAATAGTTGAGACAAAAACGCATTTGAATTAATTGTTCGTAAGTACATATACATACATATGTGCACACACACACACACACACACACATTGGAAAATATATGCCGCACCGTGTGTTACATATGTATTACTTAAATATATATAAATGCGCCTTAGGTGTCATCTAAACACAGGTTGTGCAAAGAAGCAAAGCTTTTCTAAAGTATTTTTGTTTTTGTTCTTGCAGCAATATATCTAATTTTCTTTGCGGACCCTTCTTATTAGCGGCTTGCGCGCGAATTTCAGTGGCAGCCCCATTGTCAGTGGTATCTGGCAGATACTTAGCTACTTCCGTAAGTGCAACTCGTGGTGTGAGTGATTAGTTTGTTGACTAGTCGAGGCAATTAGTGCGAAACCGTTGAGAAATTAATGCAATGCTTTGGATTTCTGTATTTCTACTGCTTTAGCATAAATTATTAGTTGCATAAATAATTTGTCAAGCGATTGTTGATAAAAAGTGTGACAGCTGAAGGGAATTCATACGGTAATTATTAAACCCTGTCTCTTATACACATCTAGATGTGTATAAGAGACAGTATGATTTCTTGTTAATACATCATAAAAAAATTTTATAAAAACTAAAGCTAAAAAAATTTAATATTTCTTTAATTGTATTTAATTGAAAAAAAAATTAAATAATTTTATATTAGTTAAATTGCATTAGATTAGATAACTTTTTATTCGTTAAAAAATTATTATTATTTAATAATAAAATTCTTAATGTTAAATACAAATTCTTAATAATTTTTTATTTATTTTTTTTTTTGTTAATTCACATTATTAATATTTTTTTTTTTGATGAAAATAATTTTTCTCAAGAGCAATGGCTCAATAATACTGTTTGTTGCACTATGATATGTTTGTATGGAGCTTTAAGGCGTACACTAGATTCGCACGCTGTGAATGAAAAGCCAACAGCCATTTTTTCTTTTTGTAAAATAAGAATACAAATAAAGCGATACTATCTTCAGCGAGCTACTGTCTCAAGACGTTTAAAGCCAGCAAGTCRTGGTATGATTGCTTGAAATTAGCGCAGCATGTTGTCATGCCAATCTTACGGCGGGAGGTTGACCATATAAGAATATTAAATAAATTATGGAAGAGAAAATTAATAAGCATGTGAAAGAATGGCGATTATGTTGATAATAAAAATTATGAAGAGAAATATAAAAGAGCTTTCGCAGAAAGTAAAAAAAAAAACGAAAAAACAAAACAAAATAAAATAAATTTGAGAAAATAAAAAGTTCCACATTTTGGTAAAGTAATTTTTTTTACCCCTTTTCAATATATTTATAATAGAGTTTTTTAAATATTTTTTGTAACATTTTTTTTTTTTTAACATCTTGCAATTTTTTTTTATTTCTTTTTGTAAATTTCTTTTTTAATATATTTTAAATATTATTTTAAATATTTTTTATTTTCTATACAATTAATTTTTTAAGTTGAAAAAAGGAGTTGAAAAAAATCCCACAAAAGGCGGACTTAAAAATGCCTGTAAACTATTTTAAGCTCAAAAATGTGGCCAGAGTAGACACAAAAACTTTAATTTTACAAATCGACTTGAAKATGCACTTAAAATAGCCACATCAACACAATGAAGTCAGGCTACGCATGTAAATATTTTTCAGCTGCTCTCAAGACCGCAGGAGATGTATTCAGCATAGGCRAAGGATAGCAAGGCTGCAAGAAAAAACAGCCGCTGGGAGGGAGAGTGAGCTCAATAAAAAAAAAGTATAAAAATAAATGCAAGATGAAAAGCACGCAAAGATATTAAAGTGCTCCAAGACGCCGATATCCAACCAAATTAATTTCAGCTGAGCAAAATTAGCCACACACAAAAAATCAACGGCAATAAAAAACGGGAACAGCAGATGATAATCATGCTGATGATCCTACATGCACCCGAGCACACCACTACATACATACATACATACATATATTTATATATGCAAAACTCCACAGGAGCACGCTGAGCTGAGGCGGCGGCAGCACCCAACAACCAACATATGTTTTCTCCTCGGCGACCAGCAGTTGTCAGAAATGGCGCACAGGAGGAAAAAATATTTATAAAAAAAAGTGTAATTTTAGCAGCGCTTTGCAAAGAAAAAATGTGCATTTTGCGAAAAGCAAAAAAATGCGTGCAAAAGCAGGAATGCAAAAGGAAAAAAAAATATATTTTAGCCAACGCAACTGGTGAAGGGTTAAGGGCGGGCAGTATGAAACGCTTACAGCAAGCAAAGGTGCCATTCAGAAAGCATATTGCTGGTGGTGGCAAGTTTGCTGGATGCTGCCTGCTTGGTTTTCCCTACACTCCCTTATTATTAAAAAAAAAAGAGTGTTTCCCTTCATTGCTCGCCTGCCTGCCTGCCTATCTGCTACATATTAAAATCACCAGCGGCACATTGACCTACGCTGCGTGCCAACGTAACGGCTCTGAGACGCACATGCCTTGCACTGCTTGTTGGTCGGAACTTCAGCGGCGGCGACAAGTTGACAGCCACAAGCAGGCATAAAGGCTGGCAGGCCGACACGCCATTGTGACGCAGCGGTGAGCAAGTGACTTAGTCACTTTAGCAATGACAGATGTTTCTTTAAAAGTCATGCTCGACTAAAAATATTTTATAAATAAAACGGCAAGTGAATGCGTGCCACATATTGGTGTTGGCCGCAACTTTAAACAATTTAATTTGTATTTCGAAATATTTTAATTCCATATTTAAATCAAATTCAAATTAATTTGTATTTCGAAATATTATAATTCCATAATTAAATAAAATTACATACAAACATATGTATGTATGCATGCCCAAAAATAAATTTTGAAATGCCTTGCCCCTCATCAAGGTCAATGGTTAATTTTAGGGGTTGTAGTTATACTACAGTGTTTATTTGTGTGTTTATTCTACAACTAACTCTTCTTTGTGGCCGCGCTTATAAAATTATGCTCCCTTCACTGGCATTTCTATCAGTGATCAAATTACAAAGGCAAACACATTGCTTGAATTTTCATTAAAATAAATTTGAAATTTTTAGAACATGTGTGCTTAAGTGCCCTTAAGGCATGTTCGCATAATCTAGTAATTTATGATTATAAAAATTTTTTTGACGGCGTTAAAAAAAAAATTACTATATAACTTTTATGCAGCCGAATAATTTATACCTAATATTGTTAAAAAATTTTCCAATTAATACAACTTTTCCTTTAACGCCAAATTAATTAACATTCAACATTTTTCCAATTAAAAAAAAAAAGTAAACACCTTCTTTCACCAAAAAGCTCTGTGTCGCTCAACACTTACCTCATTGACAATGACAAAGAGCGTTAGTATTGTCGCTGATATCAGTTTTATCCAATTCATTTTGATATATTTGCGWTGCGTTCTTTGTCGTTAATCCTATTTAATCCAAATGCTGGGTTTGTAAATTGTTCTGTCCGAATACTTTCGGTGCAGTGTGTTTTATATGATTTTATATGAATATCCTTTAATATGGCATTAAATAATAATACTTTTCGTATTAAAATAAAATTGGTTAGCTACTACCCGTTTTTGCCAACAAAAACATCGGCAAAGGACAGTGTGTAGCAGGAAAGCAATTAGTTGTTTGTTTGTTCTTTGCACACACTTTTTCGTAGTTTTAATTTTTGCACAGCATATAACATACATAAAAAATATATTTAATTATTTAATATAAAATGTATTTAGCAGCTAAATTGTTTGAGTTTTTAGTAAACACTTTACTAACTGTTAGCTCAGCATGACTATGCGCTTGTGAACTGATGCAGTGTAATTAGACAAACTTAATTTTAATTAAGGTTTTTTATTATTATTCTTCAACCGCTTGCATGCTTAATGTGTTTCTTTGCTGCTGCTGATTGCTTTCCGGCGCATGCACTTCGCTACTTTTTTTTTTTGTTTTTTCTTATGCACTATTTAGGATTGTTCACTATTTCGCTATGAGTGTGCTTTTTTCTTCAAATGATTTTCAGCTTTTACGCTTTTTTACGAAAAATAGCGTTATTTCTGCTAATCAGCATTTGACTTGAGTGGGCGACAGCACGTGAACTTTTGACATTTCCGCGCTGCGCAGTTCGCTTGCGTGCGTGTTCAGCGGCGTCGTCGACGTTGACCGTGCAATGCAAAGTAACGGTACACTTGCGTATCGCTGTATAATAGTTTTTTATGAAAAAAATTTGTCTCACGCACGTTCACAATTTTTTGTGAAAAGCTTGTTCGTTTATTTTTCAAAGCGCTTGAAGCGTTTTATTGAAAAGTTGTTTAGTATTCATGTAAATAACGCGTCGCCACGCTTCTTTCACTAGCGCAAGTCCGTATGAGTTTTCCGAAAAACTGATTCGCAGCACAAAAGCACATGGAATGATTGTGAACAATTGCACTAATTTTTCTAGCCAATTTCTCAAAGCAATTTCTTTAATGCAGAACTTCTTCTGTCTTCTTCAGCAAATGCACTTGTATCACTTTGTATTTTTTCTTCTTTAAATTATTTATTTTCAATAATTTCGCTTAATATTTTTCTAATTGCTTAATTGAACGCGCCACTGCACTATCGCGTACAAATTCGGCGAGAATTTTCGTGTTTATCGTGTTAGCTTGGTGCGTCTTCAAGCGCTTCTTATTTCAATTACTTTTTAGAACTCTAGCAGCAGAGTTGTAGAATGTATTTTGTTGTTGTTGTGTGTTTGCTTCAGGTTTTGTTAGCGTAGTGCGAAGCACAGAACCCGACGATGCTTCTCACGCAAACTTCAATTCAAAACTGCCGCTACGCTACGTCGCCAAGTTGCTGCCGCCCGCAAAACTTCAACAACGCTGCGAGCAAAACAACCAACTGCATTCTCTGCTCTCTGTGGCGTCGCACCTTTTGGCGGTGTGTGTGCGAGCCGTTTGGCACATGCCGGCATGCCAGCCTGTGGCTCTGCTCGCACCTACAAGCGCAATGGCAGCTGCTCCGTCGACAGATGTTTTTCGTTGTTTGCTTTATGCAATGCATTCGCTGTTATTGTTGTTGCATCGCTTACATTTGGCTGTGTGCATTTGCTCTTTGGCTACGTTGAGCGCACGGCTGAGCGTGGTGAGAGCGCAGCGTGAGCACAATTGGTGGTTTGTTCTCCGATTTTATGCTCCAAAAGTGTTAACGTTTTGTTCTATGCAAAAGGTAGTAGGATTAGTAGTAGATATTCCGAATACGTTTCAGTAGCTCGTATGTGCTTGTGTAAGTTTCGTGGATGTGTTCCATCCACTTTGTTGCTGTATATTTTAGTAGTACTTTTCGGTTTTCATTACTTTTTATTGAGACGAGTAGGCATGCTAGCGGTGAAGGGAACATATTCGATGCTCATTAGAAGGGCACACAAGTAGTGGCTCTCAAACTGTTGTTGGTAGTAAGAAGTTGTGAATGGTGTTGATATTTATGATAGTTATTATTCAATTATATTTTTTTAGAAATATTAGTAATTAGTATGTACATATATTTTCAGTAACTAAGTACCATCGATGGGTTGTTGTAGCGGCTGAATTCTACCGAGTTGACAGTCCTTGGCCGAATAAAAAATTCGGGTCCGTTCCGAATACGTAAAAACGACTGTCGTGGGAACGGATCAGATAGATGCGTGATTAGCGCAAGTTTGCTAGTTCGTTAGTAGGGCTGCTATTTGGGTCGACGAACCTGCCACAAAAAAGCGGTCCACGGTCCTTCCGATATTGATTCTGTTCTCTTCTGTTTTATTAGCTGTTCCAAATTTTACGTGATCATAACAAACTCACCATTTATAATTGTTTCTTAGGTATATTTGATACCGACCTATCTACGATGTATTACCAAATGTTTTTATCCATTACCGCCATTCTCTAGATATGGTCATTCAAGGAAAAATTATATAAGTACATAGATATATTAAAAAAAAACTTCGTAACCGTGGTAAGATTTTGCATATCTGTGGTCAGTTGTTGATTTTCCAGGCCAGAAATCATACCGCTGAGGTCCAATCAGTTTGTTGACAGTGGTTTTTAATCTTTCACACAATGCAGTCGATAGAACCTTTATGCGAATTGAGCAGTCTTATCCCTTTTTGAAGATTGGACAAAGTACACTTCATTTAAAATAGTTGGGCATGCTTTCTTCTGACCGTATTCTACAAATAATCAAAGAAGCATGATCCTTATCAGTTCTTTCCCGCCGTATTTGAATAGTTCGGCCGCCAATCCATCGGTCCCGGCGCTTTGTCGTTCTTCAGACGGGTAATCGCCATTCGAACTTCTTAATCGTATGTTCGCTCCATCGTCGTCGATTGGGGCATCGCATTGACCTTGTCCTGGTGCTATACTTTCATTGCCGTTCAGCAGGTTGGAGAAGTGATGCCTCCACAATTTTAGTATGCTCTGGTCATCAGTCACTAGAACACCTCGGGGTGTTCTACAAGTGTATGCTGCGGTCTTACTTTTTATGCTCCTTTTCCGATTAAAGGAGTTGAAATGGTGAAACAATCTATGACGAATCAAATCAATAAGAAATGTTTAAAACCGGCATCTGCATATCTCGATCACTTCAAATCAGTATAAATAAAAAAATTTTCTTTACTAGGAGATGGAAGCTCAGCCAGCGCCAATAGAAATGAAAAATAAAGACGCCAAACCTGTCGGAGCTAGGATGGAAGTGCGGATGGACGAAGAAATACTAATTCAGAGCATAAAGACGGCAATAAAAGGAAAAGCTCATGTATATGGGATATGTGCAAAGTTAAGCATATACAATTTTAGAGCAGCGCGCCAATCCGAGGACAATGCTTTATGAAGTACTTCAAGGCACGGCGGGAAGGGTTGAAGACACAAAATTGCTTGCGCGCGCAAATAATTTGAATGAAATAAATTTTATGAATGAGCTTTGCGGCAACTTGCCTCATTCGTTGTGCGAGTGTAATATGAAGCAAGATTTTGGCGGCAAACTTATCGGCTTCTCTTTACAAAGGGGCATAAATTCCAGGAATTTACCGAGCGAATATTGTATAAAATAAATAATATTAGCAAAAAGCCAGCGCTTATAAAGCCTGCGCCAGAATTCGAAATTTCAATGGTTATCATAGGTTTATAATACATAATTTCATATTTTCAATACATTTTTAAGCACCGAGTTTGCTTTGTTTCCTGCGGCATATCCTTATTTGCAGTTCACATCGTCCTTGTTGAGGAACGCATTGGAGAGAAATGTGTACAAACAGGTATGTATGTAAGCATGTATGTAAGCATGTAGTGTATTTCATATACATACATACATATGTCGGCATATACATATTTATTTTAATATTGAAAAACCTGCAACGGAAATTTCGAGCCAACAACAAACACATTTAGACGCACAGGCCAGCGAGGAAACTACCTGCTGCTGCGCACTTCACTGCAACAAAAAAGCATGAGCAAACACAACMAGGCTACTAAAAAACGAATACTGCGTGCACAAAATAACAGCAAACAACTGAAAATATGTACGTATGTATGTATTAAGCGTATGTAGCGTGAACTTGTCCTGAGCGAACGACCGGAAGTATTGCTCCGTTTGGCAACACGAGTAAGGACGCAGCACAAGGTGCAAATAAGGATGTGCAGCGCAGCAAGCAGAGCGAGAGTGCAGAAGCGCGCTTAGTGTTTGTTGGTGCGTGCAAGAGCATGATTTCCAGTTTATGCAAAGCAGTGATGGATTGCGCGTACCGCTGCTTCCTATTTAACCAGAAATGCGATAAGGATGTGTCGGTTAAGGATAACTGGGTACGACGCTGTCGATTTGGTGCTTGCTGCAATTACACTCTCACATGTAGATTGTACATATGTATGTTTTCGTAGAATTATTGCATAAGCGCTTTCCTATTTGTGTGGGCGAGATTCGCGCAATATTTCCGCGTACGCCTGCGCAGCATCAGCGCTGTTATGATTCTGAGCAGCGGAAGTTAACATTCATTATGTACAATTGAATTGATGCTTGGGAAGATTTCCACGAAATTCCCACGCGTTGAAAGGTGTACGCTTCCGTTCCAACGACTTCCAATTCGGGATGCGAAAGATTCGTTCGAATATTCTCGAAACAAGGAAACAGAAAACCACGTAAGGGACAATTGCATTCTGTTGATGATGATTTTATTATTTTTACTAAATATATTTGGGGTTGCTTTAAGGCATATTTTTGAGAATTCAATAGATAAGAGAGATTTTAAGAATATTTATTTCCAGCTTAAATCTAAAAGACTTTGCTTTAAGTTGGGTCTATAAATTTCTTAATTTATACAAATAAAGAGTAGATGGACTTTGCTTTAAGTTGGGTCTATAAATTTCTTAATTTATAAAAATAAAGARTARATSGTTTTGAAATCCCTGGAAAAGAGGGGCAGTAAGCCCTTTGAAGGATAGTTGGAAGCTAGAAGAGTGGTTGTTTGTAATGAGCTCTCAGTCAATCTTAGCTTCAAGCCAACGAACCATTATAGTTCTTTTCAGGTAGCAGAAGTAGCTGATATTAAGACGTCCAGTTATGAGTAAAAGAACCATTAACTTCTCCATTGTCCAGCCTTTGCAAAACTGAGACASTCTTAACTTCGGTGAACCARTAGACATAGGCGACACTGACATTAGCCGCCTCAACAAATTTAGTGATAAGCTCAATGGAGTTTTTTAGGCATCACAAAGGACCGAYATTCCAAGCTGTCCAARTGAGATTMACGTTTTAACCTAATCTAACATAATTTAAGGGATCGTGGAACCCGTTCTACTTCATAGGAATACTAGAACATAGCAGTTAACAGTTAATATGATGTTTCATGCTCAATTTTTTGTTCAAATGTTTCTTGTTTTGTTCACAAAAACCCTTGAAGCAATATAGTATATCGTATTTACTCCATTGCCATTCCCTTTGATTTTCACGAAAACCTGACCCAATTATGCTTTTTGTTAACAAAAACTGCCGCGTGTTGGACGTTAAATTAAGGAAGAAACTTTAGAATACCAGTCGTTTCTCCTTCTTGCTATGTGGCGCCAATTGGAGATTCCAAGCGAAGGCGGGTCCTTCTTTCAGAGCTGGAGTCCATACACACGACATGWCCTAGCCAGCGCAGCCTTCYTCTTCTTCTTGATTGGCGTAGTCACCGCTTACGCRATTATAACCGAGTTAACAACCACGCGCCAGTCGTTTCTTCTTTTCGCTACGTGGCGCCAATTAGATATTCCAAGTGAAGCCAAGTCCTTCTCCACTTGGTCCTTCCAACGGAGTGGAGGTCTTCCTCCTCCTCTGCTTCCCCCGGCAGGTACTGCGTCGAATACTCAGAGCTGGAGTGTTTTCGTCCATCCGGACAACATGACCTAGCCAGCGTAGCCGCTGTCTTTYAATTCGCTGAACTATGTCAATGTCGTCGTATATCTCGTACAGCTCATCGTTCCATCGAATGCGATATTCGCCGTTGTCAACGCGCAAAGGACCATAAATCTTTCGCAAAACCTTTCTCTCAAAAACTCGCAACGTCGACTCATCAGATGTTGTCATCGTCCATGCCTCTGCACCATATAGCTGGACGGGAATAATGAGTATCTTGTACTTTGGTTTTTTTCGTCGAGAGAGGACTTTACTTCTCAATTGCCTACCCAGTCCAAAGTAACACCTGTTGGCAAGAGTTATTCTACGTTGGATTTCCAGTCTGACATTGTTGGTGGTTTTGATACTGGTTCCAATATAGGCGAAATTACCCACAACTTCAAAGTTAGGAC